TATACAACTTTTTAAAAGAAATAAAAAGTTTATGAATGAAATAGTTAATTCATATATGTGACTGCTGGATGGTTAAAATAAAACGGCTTAAGCGAGAAGCATAGATGATTAGTATTTCATGTATGGTGCAGCAATCCCATTGTTTCCTACAGGGAAGCAAGTTAGGACAATTCTAAAGCTGCAAGGCCAGCCCTTGGTGGGAACCTGGGCAACTTGATTCAGTAGGTGGCACTCTTTCCTCAGAGTCAGTTTTACTGTGATGACCTGAAATGTTTCAAAAAGCTTTGTCACTGGAGGTCCTGCCTTTCAGGTGAGGCAAAACCCAAAAGCTTATAATCACTTATTGGTATAACAGGTCACACATTTCTGTCTATTATTCTGAGATATTTAAATGTCCTGTTATATAGCTATCACATAGAGAAGTATGAGAAGAATATACAGGAAGTACACCAGGCTCTTCAGAAAGCAAATAAGTGCTCTACAAATCCTCTGCATTTTAATTATCATACCACCCACCAACTTGGCAAATGGCTTACTCTGAGTAAAACCATTTACTGCTACTTGTGAAACTTGGGAAGCAGACAGGCACACCCTATCATACCACCCACCAACTTGGCAAATGGCTTACTCTGAGTAAAACCATTTACTGCTACCAGTTCGAGTCACTGATGTGGGACAACTGACCATCACAATTTAATGGTTATATTATTTCCTTTAGTATCAGGCATTAGTTCTAAAGTTTACAGCGATAGCTTTCTTTCAAGTAAAACCTCACAAAAATGCCTTGGATTAAATATTAAATAAAAAAAATTTTTAAGAGCCATAGCTCTTTGCCCTTATCAAGTTGCAAATATCTAGAGCTATTGCTAAATGTAAATTTGTAAAGAATAAATAAGTGGAGACATGCAATTTCTTTAAATTATAAATGAAGACTTTCAAAAACATTGACTTGATTAGGTTGCTTCGAGCAAGTGTGCTGTGGATTATTATATTTCTTGACTATTTACCAGTAAAAGAAAGGAGGCTACACCGCTTACCTTGAGGAGTGTTTTACAAGCTCCCAACAATCCTGGAGACAACTTTTTGACTGTATCGATTATTTGTTTGAACTGCTCTTAAATAATTGTTATTACCAGAAAATTTGTTTGTATAATTTTTCACTCAGATTTGCATACAACTTGAATTTCTAAGCATAAAAATCTTATCTTAGATTAGAGATAGCTACAAGACAGATTAAAAAGGCAACAGCATGATATATTTTTCAAAAATGATCAATTTAATTTTATCAAAATTAAAAACTTCTGCTGTGCAAAAGACACTGTAGAAAGAATAAAAGACAAGCCATAGACTTAGGAAAATATTCCCATTATATTTATTTGACCAAGCACTTGTATCTAGAATATATAAATAGCTTTTAAAATTCAGTAATAAGAAAGTAAATAAACCAATTTAAAAAGTGAGCAAAGATTTGAAGTCACTTCACCAAAAAGGATATATGAGAGATGCAGGGATGGTTAGTGAACACATGAGAAGATGACATCATAAGTCTAGGAAAAAATGTGAATTAGAAGTATGATGAGATATCATATGGAGTAACTAAAATTTAAAAAGATTGATTGTGTCAAGGTCTTTCAAGATCAGAGCAATGATAACTCTCATCCCATTGTTGGCAAGAATGCAATATATTAAAGTCATTTTAGAAAATATTTTGGCATTTGCTTACCAGTTTAAACATATGCTTACTAAATGAACTATCAATCCCAATGAGAGCAATGAAAAAAACGTGTTTATGCAAAAGCTGTTCAGAAGCATTTATAGTATCTTTATTCACAATCTCCCCAAACAGAAGGTAACCTAAGTGTTCTTCAGTGGTGAACAGATGAACAAACTTTGTCCCATACAATGAAATACTACTCAGCACTGAAGATGAATAAACTGGCGATACACATAACGGCAAGGATCCATTATGCTAAGTAGAAGAAGCCATACCGAAGAGGCAGAATCATGTGCTGCATGATTCCATTTATATAACATTCCGAACAAGATAAAATTATAGGGACAGAAAACAAATTAGTGGTTGCTAGTAGATGTTATGTGATCAAAGCACCCGGAAATTCCGAGTTACTAAAACCCTGTTGATCATTCTTTCCCTATGCTCACATTTGTTTTGTAGATTTTTCTAAGAACTATATAAACCTTTGCTCAGCCTGAACTCTTTAGTGCACCATTTTATTAAAAAAAAAAAAAATACATGAGCTTGAATGTGTTCTATTTCTGGTCCAAGTAAAAATATGTGAAATGAAAAGATTTAATACATTATTCTCAGAGGAAAGAAAATGTAGGGTTATGGAATGTCAGTAATGTGTTTCAAAATGTCTAGAAATAATTCACACTATGTATTCAAAACCCCTACTATAGCATTTAAATTAAGAAAATATTCAGAATTTATAATGTGAATAGTTAACATATGGCACCACTCAAAAAAGGCAATGAAGCAAATAATTCATTAAAAATGGAAATGAACACAAGTAAACTTGGTTAGAAAAGTCACATCAGGGAATCAAAGGCTACTATAGCAGAGGAAAAGGCAAGGTTGAAGACTGTTCACAGGGGAGTCTAGCTATGACTTTTAGAATATTGTTCATTTATACTTGTTGAAATGGATTAAGTCATAAAATAAAATTTTAAATCCTCACCATTTTTATGACCCTCTCTGATTATTTTTGACTGCTCATATCAGCTGTGCCCTCTACCTCTAACCAGGCAGAATTATATGTGCATTGTTCATTAGTGAGTGTGAGAAAGATCTGTAATCTCATTAGACCCATTGCTACCAAACCCAAAGGGTAAAGTGGAAGGGCTCTCCCGCTGAACAATCTTTTCCTTTCCTGCTGGTTTGTGAGATTCACTTGTATCACAATCGTTATGGTCAATTAAGCTTCCACTGCAAATGAAGCATCTGATCATAGTAAAGGAAGCTTCCACTTTTAAAAAATGGATCTTTTAATTATTAAAATATATCTCATACAGTGCAGTGCATCACACAAACTCCTCTCGCCTCTCTTAAAAATTTAGTGTCAGCAGAGCAAAGCTACTTATTGATAATTTTCCAAAACAGTTACTTCAGTGTTTGTACCTGAGTCTGCTAATCAAGTATATACAATTCCTAAGAGTGTTCATGCAAATATTCATACAGACTGAATTTATAGATCACCATCAAATTTATTGGATAGGCATTCTGTAGCATTCAGCAGATTCTTGAAAGGATCCTTGTCACAAAATGTTTTAATTACCACTGTTAATAGACCTTCAGAATATTATTAACTTATATCTATATAAATGGCTGAGCAGACTGCAAATTACAAAATCTTTCTATTTCGGCTTTTCTCTGATTCCTGTGCCCCACTCAAATCATACAGAAGGGGAAAATGGGCAGTCCCAATTCATCTATTTATTACAGCCAATGTATTTTGGGATTTATTTGTGTTTTTCTAAGATGAGCTGGCTGATATCTATCTACCTACCTATCTATTTATTTATTTATTTTTAAGATTTATTTATTTATTTGAGAGAGAGAGAGAGAGAGAGAGAACAGGAGCAGGAGGGGCAGAGGGAGAGTGAGAAAGAATCTCAAGCAGACTTGGTGCGGAGCAGGGCTCCATCCCAGGACCCTGAGATCATGACCTGAGCTAAAACCAAGAGTTGGATGCTTAACTGTGCCATCCCAAAGCTGGCCAACATTTAAGTAGGTACTCAAGAATCTACATTCTTTGCATTTTCATAGTATATTTGTTGTTGTCACAGAACAAGTTTATACTCCAATAACTAGTTTTTTTTGTTGAATAAAGCTATCTCACTCATTTACTACCAAAGTTGGACTTAAGTTCTTCAGTGTTTAAAATATTATAAATCATTCTATTTCTTTTAGTATTGGCAACTTGTAAATGACCATTGCCTTTTTCTGCATATTTGGTTCTCCTCTTTTTGAGAAACAGATGACACTGACTCGGAAACCTGTGGGCCCTCTAAGAATCCGAGGTTAGAAATGAGGTTTCATAGCTCCACGGATCAATCCAGCCATGGTAATTTTAAGGATGATTCAGTCCAGTGATTTAACATTTAACGTGACTTTTAAAACATCATTTGAGTAAGAACAGAAATAATTTTATCAGGTATGCACTTGTTTATGTATGTTGTGGGGTAGGGGAGACTAAACAAAGGTGCTTTACCTAAAACAAAAGCCTGCGGCTTCCAGGCAGTGTTTTTGCTGCATTTAGAGATCGAATCTTGCATTGCTGGCTGAGGCAGAGGCGGCCGCGGACTGCATCTCCCAGCCAAGCGTATTTTTTTCCTCTCTCTTCTTTCCGAGCAAAGGGAGGGGAGGAAATGCAGCGCAAAGAACTAGGGTCCCGATTTGTAGTTTCCTCCCTCCACCAGGCTCCTCCCTCTCTTCCTCGGAAAAGGCTCTCCCCCGAAGTCAGGAAAGCCACAGCCAGATCGGCGTTTGCGGCGTGAGTCGATTGGGGGCGGGGGGGGGGGCGTATATCGCTCTCTCCGCCTCTGTTCGTAGAACACACTGTGATTTCTCTATGCCAAGCCAGTAGCCGTTACCATCCCATTCTCTCCGCGAGAGCAAGGACTTCTCTCGATGCAGTTTAATTCCAGTTTGCTTTTCTTCCCAGGCGAAAGGAAATCAACCGGCAACTCATGGTTGGATGTGCAGATTTGAAGGCGGGAGAGGGAAGGCGGTTAAAAAGGAAGGGGGAGCCACCCTCCCAGTCCTCGCACACACACTCTCTCCCTGTCTCTCGCTAGAAGGGAAACAGTCTCTGCATTCACAGGGCTGGGCTGTCAAGTGCCTCTTTTCTTTCTGTTCAGCATCTCCTTCCAATGGCCCTGCCTCCCAGTCCTTTTCATCTAGAAAGGAAAACCTTGGCGAGGAATAAAAGTGGCGAATATCTGAAGCGAATGAAGTGCGGGTTTTTTTTTTTTTTCCCAAATTTTTTTTTTTTTTTTTTTTTAATAGTAGGAGTGGGCTGGATGAAAGAAACACAGCAAGGTTTGGCGTGATGCATTCTGCAGTCTCGCTCTCACACAGTCTCTCTGGGCGACTCGAGGAGGGCAGGGGTGAGGAGCTGCGGCCGCGGCGGTCCAGTCAGGGGCTCCCACCCGCCCCCGAGAGCGACCTCCGAGGGGATGTTAGGCACAGGTCTGTCTACACATTATTTCGGGTTCTCGAGGCGCCTCGACATACGGGAATGACACATCCAGAAATGCAGGTGTTCCGATCTGCCCGATGAGTCAGAAGCAGTGGAACGAATTGAATTCACTCTCGCCTCATGGTCCTCCCTTCACAGACATTAGTTGCGGCTTCTTCCTAACGCTTTCTCTCTGACTCACTCTATAGAAAGAAAAGCCAGATTCATGTCTTGGAGGAAAAGAAAAAGCGAGAGAAAAGGGAGGGAGGGAAGGAGGAAGGTGTAGCTGAATCCAGCAGCACTTTTACTCTACCTCTTTCTGCCGGGGTCCGAGGGTCTGGAAAACAAGGCGTCTGTTTTGCTAGGTGTATTTATTTTTTTATTTATTTGTTTAAGAAAAAAAAAAAAAAAACCTTTCCTTTTGACGAGGCGTGAGGAACCCCCAAATCTTTCAGAGTCTTGAAAAAAAAAAAAGAAAAAGAAAAAAAATATCAGGATTCCAGTGACTGCTCACAGCTTAGCCCCGCATCATAGTTCATGATTTTCCTCTCAATGTTCTCTATTCACAAAGTCCAGCACCGGTGTGCATAGTTAATTGTGCAGTCCGTTGTGGAGGGTTTTTTTTTTTTTTTTCCTCCTTTTCTGTCACGGGTGGTCGCTTTTAATCTGGTGCCTGTCAGGATCAGCTCATAGCCTGCGAAAGACGTGCGGATTTCAAAGCAAATAAATCCATCTCCGCAAGCAAAGCATCGGAGGAAATGAAAGGTGAAAATTCAACAGTTGGAGTAGCGTCTCCCCAGCCGCCCTCCGCCGCTGCCGCATCCGCCGGGTTCGCAGTCCCAGCTCTCTCCCCAGCGCCTCTTGCTGACTGACTCTATTCACCTCACGCCGCCGCTTAAACATTGATACTGATTCCCTGCCAGCCAATCCGCGTGAGGAACAAGGCCCTGCCTCCTCGGCCCATACCCAATAGGAGGCGGCAAAGAGACTGGCGGGGGCGGAGCCAGGAGCCCCAGGTCTTCCGAGTCATTGATTAGATTAGTTAGATGGGACACCAGCTCGGCTACTGGAGGCCGGCGCTCCGCCTTGGCGGCGGCGCCTAGGGCCTCGTCGCCTGGTCTCCCGAGTCTTTAACTAATGGGAGAAGCTCCTCCACCGTCTTCCTCCAGAAAAAGGAGAATTAAAAGGAAAAAAAAAAGTTTGATAGCGATTATAGTTTTAAAAAGTGTGTCTTGTTAAGGGGAAGCAAAAGAATTGAAAATATCCGTTGATTCCATTTCCTTTAAAAATAAAATAGGGGTGAGGCATAAGGATAAAAATTAGTTAGTCTGGGTACATGTCAGTCTTTAATAACAGAACCCAGCACTATAACTTAAATAAAATATAAGTAGATATCTGATATAGTTCCATTTTGCTGCCTTTTGCAGATGCCCTGTGGCATGGTATTCTCTTTCTATACACTAGGGGGAAGTGTAACATAAATACTCTGGAAAGGGTGGTGGGCAAATTCTCTATGAGGATGTATTATCACTGGTCTCTTCCCAGGCACTGTGTTTTCCCCTCATTTGGGTAACAGCCCATTATTCAGGGCTAATCAATAAGCCATGTTCCCCTTTCCTTGAATTTTTTTCCTTCTGTTATTGTAAAGCAAATAAAGATATTTTATGACTTTCCCTGAATAAGTATATAATGCAAAAAAAAAGCCATAGGTTTGTCATATTAAAAAAAGTAATGATTAATAAAGGAGTGTGTAATTACTACTCTTTATTTGAGTTAGCTGCTGCTTTTAAAGCATCAAAGCCTCAGCTTCCAAGATACACACATGGGTACAGAGATACCAAGCCTAAGAATATACAAAAGTGAGGTTTCACAAAGCAGCATGTTTAGGCAATCACTCAGCAAAACCACCCAGGTTTCTACAAAGCTCTAGCTTCTGTGTTTATCAAAGATATGTGCACAAACTACCTATTTAGAAAATACAAAGACATTTTAGGATTTGAAGGTCTGGCTATAAAGAGCTCCTCTTTGAATTTTTAAATTGTTAAAGATATCTCTTAAGAGAGTGGTGAATTTGGATTCCCATCAGACTGTAAACTCAGACTACAAGTTAGCTCATTGAATCCTCCAGGAAATAAATAGCTCCTTTACTTGAATCTTTAAGCAATTATCCCAACAACAATCATCAGAACTTTCTGTTTGGTCTGGATTTGATTTCTTTGAATCCCGAATGATTCATGTAACAGACTTGTACGTTAGTCATTCACAATTTATAAATGGCAACTTAACTTTAGTATTTATGAATTGCGATCAATACTCTAGCAATCAAAACACTCACCTTTTCTATTCAATACTTCAATTTTCTTTTTCCTTCTTAACTCTTTCCCAGAACCGCAGGATCGGGAGCAAACCAGTCTTCACTTGTGGGTATTTGTGATAATAGTTTGGGAAAAAGGAATCTCTGAGATTAGAAACTGAAGTTGACAATGTAAATGAAGCAGGAGCCTGTGTGTGTGTGTGTGTGTGTGTGTGTGTGT